CCATTTCGTAGTCTTCAATTTCAATTATATTGTATATACTCTCGTATTTTCAATCAAATATTAAATACATTAATATCATTATTAATCAATCATCTGACTATACTTTTATTCATTCATGTTTTACGAAATAATCATATTTTACTTAATTTGTTTTATGACGGTTCATATTATCATCCCAAATCTATCCTAGAATCATTTGTAAACCAACCGGCACACTGTATGAATATATATGGAAGATGGCTTGATGTTTTTATTGTTTGTTTTTATTGTTTGTTTATGTTTGTTTTAAAAACAAATAAAAAATTTTAAAAAAAGAAAAAGAAGATAAAAACCAGCTGTGAAGCAAACGTTCTTTGCAGGAAGCAAAGACGTTTCGAAACTCAGCCTCATGGACATTACAGTATCTTAAGTTGGTATTTGAAGACTCTTGTGTTGTGAAATATTTCTTATCTGTGATTCTTGGAAGTCTTGCAAAGTTTTGGTGAGGTTTGTACTTATCAAAGTTAATTAGTTTGCAGCAGCCTTTTAACCGGGGATTCGTAAAACTCATTAAAAAGTTTATGTTCCCTGTGTTTATTATTTGTTTTATTGGAAAAGGGTTTGGGTCAGAACAATTCAATGTAACAGGGAGTATGGATGGGTGGGGGGGGGAAAGCAAATTACCTGAGTGAGCAAAGTAGACATTTTTTTTTTTTTTTTGGTTCTTGGTAGAATGTTTAGAAGTAGAGTAGAACAGAACAAAATAGAACAGAATACTTCATTGGTCAAGTGTGATTGGACACACAAGGAATTTGTCTCCAGTGCATAAGCTCTCAGTGTACATACAAACAACAAAATAATACTATCTTATATCAGTAGGAGAAGATAGTAGAAAAAATGAGAATAATAATAGCAATACAGCCATACTCAGGGGTAAATATCCTTAGACATAAAATTAAGAGGGGAGAATGGATGGATAACTATTCAGATGTATATTTGGTCAGATGCTCATAGAAAGCTGAGAAATAATATAGTACAAAAGTCTGTTATAAAGAATGACTATTACTGAAAGAAGCAAAAATATTGGTAAGGACATCCTTTTCTTCGTTATCATGTAAGGAATGAGAGTTGGGTATGTTTGGAGTAGAAGATAAATGGAGTTCAGCAGGAATAGGTATTTAATTATGTATTGTAGGACCAAGAATGATTATGGACTGAATACAAACTTGAGTGAACAACTATATATAAAAAAGTATATTGAGGTGGTAGGTCAAAATAAAAATATGAAGGAAATGTCAGTGTGTTGACAGGAAAAGGAAGATGGAGAATTCAGTAGTTGGATGAAGACAAGATGCTGAAAAAAGAAAAAGTACAGAGAAGAGCAACCAAGATGATTAGGGAACTGGAGGCTAAAACATACAACGAACGGTTGCAGGAACTGGGCTTGTCTTGTCTAGTGAAGAGAAGGACCTGGGGAGAGATGATATCAGTCTACCAATATTTGAGGGGCTGCCACAGAGAGGAGGAAGGGGTCAATCTATTTTCTAAAGCTCCTGTAGGCCAGACAAGGAATAATGGATGGAAACTGAACAAGGAGAGATTTAACCTGGAAACAAGGAGAAACTTTCTGACAGTGAGAACAACCAACCAATGGAGCAGAACAGAAGCTGCCTTCAGAAGTGGTGGGAGCGCCATCAGTTGAGACTTTCAAGAAGAGATTGGACTCTCATCTGTCAGAAATAGTGTAGGGTCTCCCGCTTGGGCGGGGGATTGGACTAGATGACCTACAAGGTCCCTTCCAACTCTGATTATCTGTAATCTGTAATCAGATGTTGTGAATGACATTGATGTAAGCAAATTTAAGTATGTTTCTTTTGCTTGCTCTTCGTTCACATTTGTTCAAATTTCACTAAGGAGATGAGAGCAATCAACCAGTGGACCTGCTTGCTTTCAGAAGTTGTGGGTGCTCCATCCCTGGAGGCTTTAAAAAAGAGACCGAACAACTACTCCTGCTCGAGTAGAGGGTTGGACTAGAAGACCTCCAAGGTCCCTTCCAACTCTATTATTCTATATTCTATGTTCACATGTTTACTTTCTTTGGTTTAGTATCTGCTGCTACATTTCTGTCATTTGTATAAGATAGTTTACTCCAGAATGATATGGAATTTTTGTGTGTACACTTTATAAATGGAGCTTACATTTCTATAGCTGTCAGCGTTCCAACTAACCAACTCCAAACCAATAATCTCCAAGACAAACATTTCCTCAAAGTTCCATTTTATTAGAGTTGTTGTATTGGCACATCTGGGAAAACCTAAATCTGAGAGTTCCGTATTTTCCCTTCCCAAAAGAAAATCAATGATCCACCCCCTGCATCCATCACATGGCCCAATCAAATCTTCATCCCAACTGGAGACAATCCCCCAGTCACTCCCCTCCAGGTGCAGGGCAACATGTCCTTGACTCTCTGAGAAAGAATGTTGTTGTGTCTAATCTTCTACCTCACTATGAAATCCCCCCTCCCAAATTCCCAGGCACTGAATGTGGCAGCCTCAAAGCTTTCAAGTCAAAAATAGCTTCCAAGGCTGACAGTAGCTTTATTTTCACACCACTTTGCAAACTTGGTTAGTTTTCTTTCTACAGGTTTGTTTGTATTAAGCCTATCTTCCATAAAAAAAAACAAAAAACTGTGCCATCTCACATCTCATTAACTTGTTTATGGGAAAAAAAATACTTAAATGTAGATATTCTCTCTGAAAAATGTAGAAGGCAGAAAACTAATAACTGGACTAATTTTATCAGGCAGATGGCTTAGTGGCAGCAACAGAATCACCCAAGTGGGAAATCTTCATTGAATTCTGGACCAAGCAATATAGAACTCCTTGTGGCAGATATTGCAATGCTTGCTAATTATGTTGGAGAACGGTGACCAGAAACTTTTAACGGACGCCAGCTGGCCTCCTAAAAGAACAAATTGCTTTATTTATTTTTAGGGGCCAAATCTCAACACTCTTGATACTAATAGCTTACTAAGAGAAATTCAGCATGACTTTCCCCAAATGATTAGCCATTGGTGATAGCCATCATGTTGTCATTGTTGTTTTTTCCCTGCAACATCTGGCATTGGACATTTTTATTTTAGGACATATTGCTAATAGTCATCCTTTTGAGATCTTTTGAAAGACCGCACAACCTTCTTTCAGGTAGTTTGGTCAGTCAAGTGCAACAAAAAGAAGCAGATTTTTTTTTGCAGATTGGCAATTTATTTCTTGATAATCCTGATTAGTGTACATTCAAAGTGACAATTAAGTTATCCTATCCTATCCTACCCCACTCTACCCTACTCTAATCTACTCTATTCTTCATTCCATTAGTTCTACTCTACTCTACTGTACTGTACTCTACTCTACTCTATTCTAATGGAGGGAAAAGTGGAGTTGAGGAACATGTGGGAAGAAATGAAATTTCTTGTGTGTGTTGAGTTGTAGAGGAAAGATTTAAAATCTGAATTGGTGCTATCTCTGTTTTTGTGGATGTTTATGGAAGTAGGATGAGGTTATACCCAATGCTCTAGCGAAGGATGATAAAGGAAGAGATAAATTTTGGGGGAAAGCAAAAGAAATGCAATTCAGGCATATATATGGTGGCTCAGTGCTAAGACGCTGAGCTTATCGATCAGTAAGCTCCCGTTACTTGTCCCAGCTTCTGCCAACCTAGCAGTTTGAAAGCATGTAAAAATGCAAGTAGAAAAATAGGGACCACTTTGGTGGGAAGGTAACAGCGTTCCATGCACCTTTGGCATTTAGTCATGCTGGCCACATGACCACGGAGAGGTCTTCGGACAGTGCTGGCTCTTCGGCTTTGTAACTGAGATGAGCACCGCCCCCTAGAGCCAGGAACGACTAGCACGTATGTGTGAGGGGAACCTTTACCTTTATATGAGTATCTGCATGAAAAAAAGGTTTGCATATTTTATTTTGATGCTTTACATTGTAAGTCTATTCATAAGGCTGACGGTTTCTTCCTTCTTTCTTAGACTGTTCATAGTGTTGATTATCCCAAAGGAATGAAATGATGGTTAAATGCTTATATATGTTTGAGAGATCAGAGGAAAATTAAATGCCGAACAGCATAATCAGATCTCCAGTGTACCCATATAAAGGGCTCAGTTTGTTCCTGTTTAAGTCACAGGAGTTGAATTTCTTGGTGAACTACAAGTTTGCGTCTTTCATGTGGGAGGTTTCTTTATTCAGCATGTTTTGAGAAATTAAAATGTCTCAGCAGTTCCTGAACAGGGCCATTTGGGTGTTGCTTTTTGAGGTTAAGGTCATTTATTCTTAGCAGATAAATTGGCTCCTTTGTCCTGGAGGGCATTATAAGACCAATGATAGCATATATCCTTTTGAAGGGACACGTTTTATCTGTTTATGATTTTTTTTTTTAAAAAAATTGAACAATCTTTGTGCAAACATTTAATCTAGCAAAGTAGGCCAAATCAGGCTTTTATTGAGTGATAGCATTGGGGGCTTTCTAAGCAGCAGTTACTATGGGAGGAAGCTACAAGCTGATTATTAAAAAAACAACAACATGATTTGGGATTCAGGGTGCTTGGAGCTGAGGACAATATTTGGCTGGAAAGTCAGAAAAACATCTGTTAGGAGAAGAAACAAACCAGAACTGATGAGGCTTGAGAAGAATCAGAATTCATTCTACGGCACAAACATGCATTTCATAACTAGTAACATATTAGTCTTTAAGCTGAAGTTTAATCTGAGAGAACTTTAGAAAGAAGAAGGAAAAAAAAGACACAAGAAGGTTGTTCTCCATTATTATTTTTTCCCTGTTTACAATTGGTCAGAGGAAGTTCAGCTAGTGTTCAAATTACAACATATAATTTAATGATCATTAAAAATTACAATGGCACTGAAAAACACAACCTACAACAAATTAGTAATAGAATTGTAATAGAGAAATAGAAACTCACTGTCTGGTGGTATGTTCCTTTGGCTAAATGGATGCAGAAAAGAAAGAAAGAGAGAGAGAGAGAGAGAGAGAGAGAGAGAGAGAGAGAGAGAGAGAAAGAAAGAAAGAAAGAAAGAAAGACGAAAGGAAAAGGAGATTTAATGAAATATATTTGTGCTTGGTTCACTAAATAAACCTATTTTTATTTGGATGGGTTTAACAAAGGAAAATGTATTAACCTCGGTGAAAAGATGGCCACCCTGATTCCTTGCAACACTTCTTAGGTCTTATTGCACTATCATTTTTACATCTATTTAGCATTTAGTTCCTTCAAAACAATATTGGATTCCATTGTTGTGGCAGTCTGCAATTATTCTTAGTCTTCCCAAGCTGGCTGCCCTTTCCAAGTTTATTTAAGAGAAAGTTTGCAAGAAGGGAGAATGTGACAAAAAGAAGTAGGAACATTATTTCATACAGGGGGGGGAAATAAATAAACTAAAGAACTTTTCTATGATTGTTAAGAGTATTTTCTGCCATTTGGATTTATTGCTTAAGTTAGGAGAAGAAGTGCTAGAGTGCTTGCAGATAAGAATGGAGAAGGCCCATTTCCCATCCTTAGTTTTCACAACTACCCTGTTTTACTGAAAATACGACCTACCCTGAAAGTAAGTCCTAGTTTGATTTTTACACATACACCCAATATAAGCCCTACCTCTCAAAAGTAAGCCCTAATTAAGATCCCACCCACTTGAGTGCACGGGTAAAAAATAAGCTAGGGTGGGGATGTGGGGAGTGGAGCTGCCCTACTACTTATCTTTGGATAGTTGTAGCCAGGTCTTGCTCACTCCAACACCTGCCTTGTCAGCCCATGTCTTCTGCAGCCAGCAAAGCTGGCAAGGCTTTCTTGAAGGCCTCTGTAGCTGATGACAAAGCTCCGGATCAATTAAAGTTGTTTTGGCCCCAGCAAATATCACTTCACACTTTATTTGACAATTACTTGATTACTTCCTTCAACATGTCCCCACCACCTTTGGGTATTACTATCCTTTTAACCCAAACCAAGATAATTTACCAAATGAATAAATGACAATAGATCCTTAAGGACCTCTCCTTCTTACCTCCAGTGAAAAAAAATGCTAATTTATTCTTGTTTTTTCCCCAATTAGTAGCCCATAAAAGGGTCTATCCTCATATCTCATGGCTATTAAGAGTCTTTAATGAGAAAACTATTGGAGATTTGTTTTGAAAATGCAAGCACATAATATCAGTAAGAATGTTCCATTCATATTGTGGTTGGCACTATCTAAAAAAGCTAGAAGATGGTGAAGATTGATTTTCCTTTCCTTACTTAGATAATATCTCAGGTCTTCCAAATTCTCTCTCTCTCTCTCTTTCTCTCTATTTATGTATGCATGTTATATTTATAGTTATATAGTTCCTCCCCCCCAAAAAAGTTACGATTGCACAATTCATTTTATTAAGATATTCCATAACACTATCAAAAATAGAGAGGCCTTACAAAGAAGATGGAAAGCTTGTAAATTAGATGTAAGAAGGTGACATCATATCTGTTTGGTATGAAGCTTGTGGAGATGGTTCATCATCTAGACCAGTTGCTGAATACGTTTTGGGAAGAAGATAGCAATTACAGTTTATGTGTGCCCTACTGACTGGGAAATTGGCTAGGAAACAGATTCAAGTCCCAAATTGTAGATTTTTTTAAAAAATGCTGTTCATTCCATTTGCACAAACAACTAAACCCTAAAGGTTTATGGTTCAGGGGTCTCAAATGTATGGATTGGAAGATGGTGTCAGAGGCAATGTCAAGACTTTATAGGCCAAGGGTCTTCAAACTTGGCAAGTTTAAGACTTGTGGACTTCAACTCCCAGAATTCCTGAGTTAACATGACTGGAGGAGGAATTCTGGGAGGAATTTCTGGAAGTCCACAAGTCTTAAAGCTGTCAGACCCCTGTGATAACTACTAATGAGCATTTATAGGCAGGCCAACCTTGTACAACAGATACGGATTCCAGATGAACTGTAATTCAAATGGTCTGCAGGTCTAAAGTAGCAAAAAATGTTTTTTAAATTGTTTCCTAGGGAAACTTAATATCTTAACATCTTCACTTCAGAAAGATGTTGATATTTCAAGGATTGGAAGTGGCTTTATGGGTTGTCATTTCAGTCAGCAAATGAAAATCAGACAAAAAAGACATGGGGAAAAATTGGTTCATGACAGAAACATTTGGAAATTGACAGTGGAAACCAATCCTGGAAGTCTTCAAGCAAAAATGGTGGGATTAGAGTAGTTGCCTGTGAACCAGAAGATAGATATCATTACAATGGAAATCTAATGAAGTGGAGAACATCAGTAGAATGCAGTCACTCCTGGATATGAACTTAATAGGATATGGAAGGACAGAGACTGCTATTTCTCTCTTTAAGATAAGATCTAATAAACAGCACTATCAGGGACAGTTTTTTCTCTATAAAATATTGGATGGCAATATCTGATCACAAACCTTCAGTTAGATTAGTTATGGGACTGGAGTTAGAGGACTGGAGGCTAAAACATATGAAGAATGGTTGCACGATATGGATAAAGGTTCATACATGCTAGTCATTTCCGGCTCTAGGGGGCGGTGCTTATCTCCATTACAAAACCAAAGAGCCAGCGGTGTCCGAAGATGTCTCCATGGTCATGTGGCCCGCATGATTAAACATTGAAGGTGCATGGAGTGCTGTTACCTTCCCACCAAAATGGTCCCTATTTTTCTACTTGCATTTTTATATGCTTTTGAACTGCTAGGTTGGCAGAAGCTGGGACAAGGAACAGGAGCTCACTCTATTATGCAGAGCTAGGGTTTCGAACCGCCAAACTGCTGACCTTTCTGATTGACAAGCTCGGTGTCTTAGCCACTGTGAGCCACCTTAGGATGTGGATATGTCTAGCCTAATGAAGAGAAGGACTAGGGGTGACATGGTAGAAGTCTTCCAATATCTGAGGGTTACCCAGCTATTCTCCAAAGCACCTGAAGGTAGGACAAGGAGCAATGGATAGAAACTAAGAGCAGCCTAGGTAGAACTAAGGCAAAATATCTTGACAGTGAGAACAATAAGCCAATGGAACGACTTGCCTTCAGAAATTGTGAATGCTTAATTACTGGAGGTTTTCAAGAAGAGACGTGAAAATAATTTGCCTAGAATTGTCTCCTGTTTGGCAGACCTCCAAAAGTCCCTTCCAACTTCTGTTATTCGTCTTGGGAGATGAACATTTCCTCATGTATATAGATGAACAGAGTGACGTTGGAGGGAGGGGAAAAAAAGGAGGGGATGGAACAGGATCAACTGTGTAGCTGGATTTCAAGAATCAAAATGGCTCTTTAGACTCAGGAGATGGAAAAGTATTATCAGGAAGAATATAAGTGAGGGGGATTTTTAAATGAACGAATAAGCTTATGTGTATAAATTAAAGCCGCTATATTCAATTTCTTGCTTCTAGTGTCTCATAATAGAAATCAATCCAATCTGGATTCCTGTTAAAATCCTCTTTCATTTTTATATTCTCCATACAGCATATGTTGCCTTCTTAAGAATTCTTGCCTTCCTCATTTTCAAATCCACAAGCGGCTTAGTGTTTCTGATGAAGCTAAAGCTCAGGATTTGTTGTTGGGTTTTTTTGTTTCATCGTTTATATTTTATATATATCCTCCTGCCTCTTTTTGACCTTCCCAGGATGTAATCAACATATCTGTTGACCACAGTGCTTTTTTTAAACTACCCAGATTAAATGGAAAGAGATTAGGCTAATCTTCCATTAGCTGCCCTGAACCGTCAAAATGGATTGCATGATCTATAATTTCATTTTACATAGGGATAGTTGAGGGCATTTAGTGCTGGTAGGATAAGCTTTCAGGGAAGGGCAGAGTTAGTATTTTGGGGGATGGGGTAGAATTCCAGAAATCCTTGAACTGAAAAGGAAAGAGTGGCAAAACATCAAATTGTTTGCAAGAAAGCTGTCCCATTGGGACCATGTAAGTTACTAGAATCAGC